CAAAGATGAACTTGTGAGCCGACTGTACAGTTTTGAAAGCGCTGAAGAAGGGAAAGTTTGCTGATCCGGTTGACTAGATAGCTCGAGTGTGCATCGGCTTTGCTTTGAAGGGCACGCCAAAAGTTCAGGAGAAGCTTCCGGGCATGTGTTATATTGCCACAGCCTTTGCATTATACCAAGACATGTCGTGCCTGTGCAGGGTCGTGCGCGTGTTCAGAACTGTTTAACGGCAGAAGCACAGTGCCGGAGGCATCACCCGTCTCCTTCGCAAGAAAAGCAGTTGTGAGTGTTGCTGTTTGTCAGGGCTTGCAGGTTTTTTGTTGTTGCCAAGGTTTTGTTTTTCTGTTGGGGTTTGAAGGTTTTTTGTCGTTGTCAGGGCTTTGTTTTTTTGTTGTGGCTTCAGCGCGCTCTCCCCGCAGATGCCTGTCACGAACCCGCTTAAACCCTATGATAGAAGCCTGAGTAATTGCCAATATTACTGCTAGGGTTCGTTATGATATGAACGTACTATAAAGGAGCCCAAAACCCCATTCCAGTTGTTTAAGGCCCCTTAAACCTAAAAGCTCATAGAGAAAACCTAGAGAACCAACGGCCTGAGCCCAGTCGAAGATTCAGGGTTTAGGGTTTAGGGTTCAAGGGTTTAGGGTTAGGGTTTTAGGGTTTTAGGGTTTAGGGTTTAGGGTTCAAGGTTTTGGGGTTTAGGGTTTTAGGGTTTAGGGTTTAGGGTAAGGTAATGTGATGAAGAACTTCTACTTGTGTCTATGGGAGGGTTCAGGGCATCTATAATCGTAAATATCAAACAAGCGCCCAGGACCGACCCCTCCCAACGAGAGATGTTGGCCTGAATATATTGCTTGAGTAAAAGCCGTCACAAGTTCAAGGGTTAGGGTTCCTGTGAACCTTAGAATCGTTGTTTGGTAGGGGCTTGGACCCTGTTGTCTTGATTGAGAACCTCCCAGATTTTATGAGGAAAAACAATCGCATGGAGCAGTCTTGATTTGGTGCATGATTAAGAGTTTCAGATTTTATGCGGCTTGTCGGAATACATTTGCCATCGTGATCGAACAGTTTCTTTTGGGTTGATTTTGAATCCTAAACCCCAAACCCTAAACCCTAACCTTAAACCCTAAATTTCGGCTCCGGCGAACGAACATGACCCCTATAGTAATCCCTATACTAACTCCCATAGTAATCCCTGAGATAGCTTTGTTTCTTCAACCTTCAGTCGCTCCCCCCCGAAGTCGAACCAGTCCGAAGTCGACCAAGTTGGGCCGAACATCTGGGAGAATTCAAGTTTTTCCAAGCAACATCCGTCATTGAACCAAAGAGAATAATGAGAAACAAGAACAACATAAACAAACTGGGTGTTGAACCATTGAACAATCTTAGCGATGGCCATCAACATTAAACTTCTTCAAGAGACTGCAGTGTCTTCGTGCAATATGGCAGCTTGGATGGGTGAACACCCGACGTCTCAGACGGACAGTCAATGCAACGTATGTAAGGTCTAGATTTGCTTTCGATGCCCACCATCACACATCCTACGGGCCGGCTACACTGCAGGACATTTGTGAAAGCTGCGGCTCTCGAAATGTAGGCGCGAGCCGGGCGGGACACATGGAATGTGGAGTGGTGTCGTGGAGCCTGAACATGTCGGACGCCGACGGGATGAGAGGTCGACACATGTGCTTCGACTGCGGAGCAGAGCGGGCGCCGCCTGCACGGGAGGCTGCTGGAAGCAGATAGGTTCGCACATGCTCCTGTATCATCGGGTATCATTGCTTCAGGCTGCCGCATCAAGACGAGGCAGCTGCCACTTGTGACAGCGACAGTTTCGCCAGACCAAGTTTCAGAGCTTGATGTCAGCCGGAGGCGGCGCAAGTGCCCCGAGTGCACAAGGAGGGAAGGCACCATGCAAAGACTCTAGGTACACAGCACCATGCCCTTCATCAGTGCTTCGGAATGTGCGTGCGTGTGCCGAGCATTGCTTCAGGCAGGGTATTCCATCTCCGAGGCCATTGCTGAATCACCGGAGCAACATTGAGGACTAGGATCACACCCAATTAAGACGTCACCTGCAAGGCGGCTGGCAAGTCAGCCACAACTCCATCCATGCCCAAGCGAAGGCCAGCGGCATGCCCAAGTTCGCAGCCCCGAAGCGTCGGGCGGATCCCTCGCTTGCTCTGCAGGTTCTGCATCAACTGTGGAAGTCAGCAGCTGCCACATGCAAAATTCTGCTCCGAATGTGGAAGCCGTGACTTGGATGAACAAAGCGATGGCCTGTATTGATAGCAATTACTACCGTGGGTTGAGGAATGGATGAGCCCGCGCAGAGACAGTCCGAGCCGAACTATGCAGGACAGCGAGGACTTTCGAAGGGAACTTGCCTGTTTGCCAGATTCTGCTGTAGGAGAACCACGAAGGGTAGTTGAAGCTGAGACACGACCGGGTGTTCGACCTGGAGGTGCCAAGCTACCGAAAGGCACGTTCCTTCCACAAGCCGCTGATGTCCACTCGCGTCAGGCGGAAGTGGTGGACGTTCTGGGCACTACTTCGAAGCGGAGGCTCAGGAGCGAACGCACCCCTGCTTTTGAGGCTGCCGTCGTTTGAGTCTGCCGAGATTTTGCGAGGAGCCGGACCCAAGCCATCCCAGCCTTGCGGAGCTGCGGGCTGAGGCCGGGAAGCTTGTGGGGGTCGAGCTCCACAAAAGGTTGAGGCCCCCGCTTTGCATGTGCGCAGCATTGCGGAGCTTCGATTGCTTTTCGTTTGTGAGCTTCTCAAACCACAATGTGCATCCCCTAGCTTGCTCTTGCGCTTTTGCACAAACATGCACGAATCTCGTTCTTCCAGCGAAAGCCGGCCGCGGGACGGTCGGGCAACCAACTCTGCAGTGGATGTTTGAGGAGAACTGTTGTCGGCTGGTCACGCTCACACTTACCCGGCCTTTGCGACATTGTTATGCCTGCTCGAGAACTGGCAGCAACCAAACAAAGCTGTGGAATCACATGGCAGGGCGGGCGAGCGTGAGCTTGTATGTCTGTAGTTGAAGTAGTATTCTGGAAGAGCATACGCATCACTCGATCAGCGGAGATTGGGTCACAATGGAAGGACAATCAAGCATGCTGGCAAAGACAGCGGCATGGATGTAACACGATACGCGCATGCACACAACGCGAAACAACAAATCTGGGTGTCACTTTCCATGATCAAAGAGCATCAACGCGGTTGCTTGCTGAACGCGGCTGCTGAAAGCTTGGACGAATGAATGGGCCGCTTGCACCTGGGGAATGGGATTCGATGAGTTGTAATGGAAAGCAACCTACTGACGACAGTGTCAGCTGCACAGCACGTCGTCTGTACCTGTTTTGCCTACCCATGCCACTTCATGCCTGCACGGGTGTCTTCTGTGAGGCGTTGGCTGGGCCGCCAAAGGAGCGAGGCATTGGAATCTTCGCCAGCAAGTGGGATTCCCGTGGCCCAGCGCCCAGCTTAAAATTGTCACAGCCCAGGAGCCTACATCCGCAGTGTGGAGGGCGAGCTTTGGGGCCGTGTTGTTGCCGCCGCTCGCTCGAGAGAGCTCGTCAGCACTTCAGCAAAAGCGCTTGGCAGCCTTGGCACCTTACAAGGACACGGGGCGCACCTGGAAGTTGGCATCGGGGCGGTCTGCCAAGAAAGAGCTCCTGAGCCAAAGACTATAAGTGACTTTCAGTCGTGCAAAGTTCCTGACCCGAGTCTCAGGAACGAGGGCCGGGCCTGGAACTTTGATCCGGATCCTGGACGTCGAGATCAGCCCAGGCACTCCCCGACGTTGCCGGAGGAGAGTTTCAGGGCTCATGGGTCGCCATTCGCCCCCCCCCCCCCCCCCCTCGCACAAACCTTTTGGAGATGGCGTCCAAGTCGTAGAAGTCACACAGCGTTGCCTCGCATTTCGGGTTGGGCTGGAGTGTCCCGAATGTAGCAAAATGGCTGGTGAGGTCTGCTCCTTCCAGGAGGGCGGATGAGGCAGGGGAAACCGGCCAACACCGGATCTCCTAACATACCCGCGCTGCAGAGGCTATGTGCAGCGCTGGAAGGCGTTGGGAGTGATTCAAAGCTGCCTCGCTGTGGCCACAGAGTCCCATTCTGTTGAATCCTGGAGATTCTACTGCATGGCTACAGCTGTGCATCCCGGTTGTGTTTTCCGCAAGTCCTCGAACGATTGATCTGCAGCGTTGCCCCATGCTGCCCGAGCTTCGAGTGTCCTGGCTGCCATCTTCGCTCAGAGGACAGTTGCAATCCGCATGACGAATAGACAGCGAAGCTTCCAGCTAATACCGGTACAAGTACTGTAAGCTTTGTGACGTGGCAGAGTTTCTGACTTTTGCTACCGGGGGTCCCGTGCTGATGGGTGCCAAGCGATGTGTGAGCCTTTTCCTTTTCGTGCTTTGCCGCGTTGCTCTCGGTGATACAGCCTGTCCAGGGCCAGGAACTCCGGGAACGCCTGATGTTAGTAGCCTTTTGCAAGTCGTGGAGCCAGAGAAAGAGGCGAAGCCAGAGCCTACCCAGCCTACCCAGTCTGCAAAGTTGGAACCTCACAAAGCTGCCGCAGCACCGGCCTCTACGAAACACGCTGCCGAAGTTGCGAGCGCTACCGCCCATGAGCCAGGGAAAGGGAAAGTGGTGGCGACAACCGTGACGAAGCAGACTCCGCCCAAAGACCCTAGCGAGACGATGCTCCAAAGTATGCTGGATGCGTTTGGAAACTACCTGAACAGACTGCTTTTTGGCTAAGCGGAGCGTGCGACTTCGCAACTGGTGGATTCAGGAAGCTGCTCTCGAGCAACCCTGTGTCCAGTGCTTGAAAAGCACGTGTGATGCAAAAGGCATCAATTGGCAATCCTTTGACAAAACTGCTTTCCATGCTCACACGAGAAAGGTCTCAAGAAAGAAGCATTATGGAGCCGCAAAGACATCGATCTTCTTCGCCCACCCTCCAATTAGTGAGGTGCCGACGTACGCGGCGGTTTAAAGACCGGAAGCCGGGGCGTAAGCCTTTCACATAGTTACACACCGCAAGCAGAGATACCTTGCAAACCATGCGACATCTTGTGCCTCTCGCTTCCTGTCCTGCCACACATCCTACGAAGCAGATCAAAAATGGATTGTGCTGATGCAAGCCCGCCTTGGGGTGTTTCGAACGCCACTTCCGTGCCAGAGCGGCAGCATGAATTTCTTGAACGATCTAGCCGGTTTCCGCTAGTAGCCGCAAGAACATCGGAGGGCTGCATATGCTGCATGCAACGGGCGGTGAACCTTCGTGCTGAGACACCTGCACCAGGCAGACATCCGTCCTGGATGCGCTGGCAGAGAAAAAGCCTGGGTCTTTGCCACTGCAAAGGGCCATGGCTGCCTTCTCTTTTTTCGGAACTCCCCCCCAAGGCGCCACGATGAGGAGGCCTTGGCTGCCAAGCGCGAGGCGGCACGGCAGAGGCCTGCAGCGGTTTCAAGGGATCCTTCTGTTCTGGAGGTCCGCGGGACCTTTAGCAGACTTTAGCCTCGATGGTTCCGGTGATCTTTTGTATCGAAGAAGAAGCTGCCACTGGAGAGGCGAAGGGCGCAGGACCGGCTTTTGGGTGCCTCCGTGTCCATGCTGAGAGTGCACCCAGAAGAATTTCATGTCGAGTCATGCCTTTTGCAGAGTTTGCCTTTGAACCCCAATCCATCTTGAAAGCATGCTTGCGATAAGTTTTCTACGGCTTTTTGTGGAGTCGATTCTTCATTCGACAGAAGAGTTGTTCCCCAGCAACTGATGTCGACGCAAGGACCAACCTGCAGCAGAGCGACGGGTTGACCCCGACGACAACAAAGCGTACACTTGGGACGAGCTGAGGCCAGGCAGAGTTAGGGGCCGGTTAGCACGGCGTTGATGTGTTCTTTGGGCCCCTGCCTCTCTAGGCTAAGGCTCTTGGAGGGTCACTGAAAGACAATAACATACGTCCGTTTGAAGTGCCGTCCGCTTGCAGGCAACGTTACCTTGGCATGTTCTCAGATGTAGAGCTGAAGGAATATTGGGAGAAGGACACCGGTCACTCACACACTTGCCGGACACACCGAGTCAAAGTTTGAGCAAGTGTCCAGCAGTCCAGCAGCTGTGGATCTTGAAGCCTTGAACAAAAACTTGCCTCGCCCGATCTTGCGAGGACTGCAAACCTGCACGTCCAGCGGCTGGCGCTCCGAAGCGCCATGATGTTCCAGAGCGCCACTGTGACTGAAAATCTTCCCCTCCTTCCCCAGATGCACAGACCTTGGATTTCCAAAGTGTGGCCTTAGGTGTTTCTCGCAAGGCGGCAGAGCGCCGCCGCGATCCAGACGACGGGCACGGGTACAGTTGCCGGGCTGAGTCGGCGTAGTTCCCGTAGTATCCTGCAGACATATGCAGACTATTAGAGTATGAAACACGGTGAGCATCTTCGTGTTTTCAGGTTTTGACGAGCTGTTGAAGAAGTACCGCGCAGCCTTTTCGTTGGCAGAGATCGAAGAGTACTGGTTGGAGGCACCTGCGCATGTTCTCGGCGCGTGCATTTGCCATGCCGTTCTGAGGCATACGGGTTCAGTCGATGCTTGTCAGTGGCAAGGCTTTTTGATGACTCATGCTGATGAAGCACAGCACTGAATTGACATTGCCACGACCCATCATTCTGCTTCCATCAGGAGTGCCAGCCGTGCTCGTGAGAGGCCTCATCGATTCGCCGCAGGGAGCTGAACAAAGGCTTCCAGCGTGCTGATAATGCGATAATGCATCCTGCCACAGCATTTATTGTGGTCGACGAGAGGGCGCGAAAAGGCGCATTGAGTCGAGAAAGACACAGGCGCCGCCATCGACAAAGTGACGCGAGGAAAGTGTCAGCTCAGTGTCAGCTCCTTCGAGACATGCTCTTGTTTGTCCTTGCCTTGCGTACACCGAAATCCCTGCGGAAGTCGCTAGAAGCTGGAGGATCGAAATCCGGCAGATCAATTGCTGCAGTCTCCAAACTGCAAGGGAGAGTGCTTGATCGTTGAAACAAGCTGCTGGCTTTAGGTCTTTTGTAGATGTGAGGAGTTAACGCTCGCAAGCGGTTTTGAGAACCAAGCAGAAACGATGCTACCAAATCCCTACAATGACCTGCTTGTCATAAGCATTACCGACCAGTACCAAGTACACGAGGCCAAGTCCATGTTTGCAGACTTGCGTGCCTCACATCCTGTAATCGACAGCAGTGCCTCAGCGCCTGTCGGAGTTTTGCCAGGTTCTCCTGCTGATCTTCAGCTTGGACGTCCCACGCCTGGTTTTGGCAATGATATGTGCTTTGGAGAAGCTGCTAGTCTTGGAAACTCAGAGAGCGTGGATGTGTTCGTGTCCAGATGGGTCAAGATGTTCTGGAGTGAAGTTGGAAAATACAGGCACATGGAAATAGGCTATGAAAGCATGGCTCTTTTCATCACATCTTCGCAGCTTTGCGTTTCAAGCCGAGCATCAGTGCAATGCTGTAGGCTACACTTTCAAGCTGTAACCTGGGAAGTGAGAAGTGGAAGCATCGCAGGAGTACTGCAGCAAGCATTCGCTTGAGCACGCAGCACAACGACACCAGGATGTATCCTCCGTGCAGAAGTGTAGCTTCGGTCCCTGTTCGTGATGTATCGCCATGAAGAGAGCAGCAGCAACATCGACGGAGAATTGGGTCGCTTGGCAAGGAATGGGTTGACCTAGCCTGTCCCCATGCCACGACTGCACATGCTGACACTTTGCAGTGCGCCGAGTGCGAGGCAAAGCGGCACCAATCAGCCGTAGAGTCCGTAGAGGCTGAGGAGTCCCCGGAGGAAGCCTGCAATCCTGCCCGCGGAAGTGGTATGGTGTTGTGGTACAGCGGCCGGCGCCAAGTTGGCAAAGTCCTGTCTGATGACGGGGTCGAGATGAGCATACCCATTGGTGGCGCTCTGAATCGAAACGTGGTTCCGCTGACGCCCAGCGGTCTGATGCATGGCACTCGCGTGCGCTGTATGCCTGTCAGACGGAAAGATGGCTGGCAGTGCATTTCCGTGCGCCCGAGTGAAGGCGTTCAACAAGGATTGACCGTGGGGGTAGACAAGCAGGGAGGCAGCTCCGAAGACCAGAGCCATCTCTCCGCTGCCGATGTGGCAGACGTGGGCTTTCTCATTGGCATCTTGGATGGGCACTGTGGGGGTGCCAGTGCCGCGCACGTGGCCAAGCGATTTCCGGGAATTCTGCATGATGTCTACAACTCCGAGCTGAGCCAAACCAGAGGCCGCTGACACAAAAGTGCATTCCAGGCAGGTGACTCTCTCTTCGTGGATGCAAGGAGTAGCAGCGCTCAACGGAGTGCAGGAGGCGAAGCAGTGATGCTGGTGATTGGACCAATTGAAAGTTCGCGATCAGCAGCCTTGCTCTGGTCTTGCTCTGTTAGGTGGAGCTTCTCCGCGACTCTCTTCGAGGCCTCGGAGAAGTGTTGACATTGACCATGCCAGAATGCTAAGAACTTTATGAAATGCAGCTTTCGCGGATTCCGTGTGATTGCTCCGACCAGGTGCCTGCCGCGCTGCCGAACGGGACCGCAGTGTGAGCAGTGCAGCCCACTTCCAAAAACATGTGACCCGAAGGTCGCCGAAGATCACCTCTCCGCTTCGCCATGATTTACGCATCAATCAGTCCTTTTGTGTCTGAAGGACTTGATGAAAGTGGCATCTGAAGGCCACTGGACAGACGGGCCCCTCGGCTAGAGCAAGCTTCCAGAACATGATTCCAATCTTGTTCATGTCTCACTGGCTCCAAACTTCTGCCAAGTGTCAGCAACCAAACAGACATGGCAACAGCAGGCATAGGCTGCTGCAGGCCAGAGTCATCCGAGTTGCTTTGATGCTTAAGGTCTTTCCCAGTGATATCCAGTGGTAGAGATCAGCTCGGCAGTTCTTGTTTTTACGAACTCTTCTCGCTCTGCGGGTGCTCTCAACCCTGCAGCTACAAGAGAGTGCTCCTGCATGGGTGCATGGATTTTGGAAATTGTGGATTGTGAGGACATCGGCGGTCTTTGCTTTGCTTGCGCATGGCTTCGAGAGTAAGAGCGCCTTGGGCTGCAGCAGCGGCTTTCCGGGCTTTACTCCAAATCATACCGAGTCGCGATAAATTTCTGGAAGCATCCCAAATGTTGCATCACAAATCGTTATGAACAATGCTGCACTTCTACGCTTGGGCACATTTTGATGTCTTGCTGTCTTGGTTCCGGCACTTCTGATCTTGCCATTCCATTTTTTGGAACTTGCTTGTGTTCTGCACTACAGTCCTAGTCACCCCCACGACTACCGATTTGTTTCCGTTTCTGCTCTCATCTTTTGGGGACATCGCCGAGCTCTGCCAGAGCACCAAACCATGGCAGCGGAGTTCGTTCGGGGGGCGGACACCGCACCAGCACTGGCCAGAAGCATGCCAGTGCATAGTCCCCCAGCGCTCAGGGAAGCCCCCGTCAAGACGCCGCTGTTTACATTCCAGAAGCTACTCGTAGCTGGAGGGAAGATAGGGGGTTCTTGCACACGATGAGCGTGGCGGGGACATACCTGGACCACGGCAGGATGAGACACGGTCCATTGGTGTGGGAAAGCGATACTCCCAAGAGCGATACCCTTGAGGAAATGCACGTGCACCCTGAACTGCCTCGTTTCGTGTAGAGAGGCATGGCAAACGTTTTTAGTGAACAGCCGCGAGGCACTTTTCGCCAAGAAGATATGGCGATATGGGCAGAATATTGCACAATTACAGGACCAAAGTGTTGGGTTGGCCTGTACTACTGTAAGATGGGCTTTAACGACGTGGTGCGAGAACGGGCGATAAGAATTCATTTTGCATGGAAACCTCATCCCAAGTTCGACTAGCGTGACATGGTACCTTGTCGTCAAAACGGTTTCGCTGCTTCCTACACTTGATCAATCCCGCATTTCGTTGCCGTCATAGGCTAAAGTTGACATGCACAGTGCTGATGCACTGGAGCTACTGCCAGCCTAAATGGTGCCAGATTCTGGTTGGCTTTCAGGCTTGTAGCTTCGACTTAAGGTCTGAGTCTTGTCACTCTTGCTTCGGGTAGTATCCGTGCTCCTGCAGCCAACTAGGTGCGCGCACCGTCCCGGGCTGTGCGGGTGAGGCCAAGATCTTCTTAGTGGCCCGGCAGATGAAGCCTTGATGTGGAATGCCTGCCTTTCTGGTGAGCTGTTCTTCAGCCTGGCTGTAGGCATGGTGCGGTGACAGTCGGGCTTTGTTGCTGCATGGCCACAAGGCCATTCACCGGCTTCCCATACACTGTTGTGTTTGAGTTGTCTTCAAGCATACTTGGACCCGCAGCTGCAAGGTCGTGGCTCTTTCACATGACCACGTTCCATCGAGGCACTCTGTTGTTACGAGTTTCGGACACCTTTACAGGTTGTGGTCCTCAAGGCCCTACGATTTGCAAAGGCTTTCTCACAGCCAGCTTTCCCGCCCTGACAGGAAAGAGGAGTACAACCGGGTAAAAGCCGCAGGAGGCAAAGTCCTCGACTTCGGCGGCACCTTGAAGGCAGGTAGGACATGCTGGACACCACCGCGTGTTTCCAAACTTATGAATAGGCTTGTATACGACAGAATGATAGAGCGCATAGTTCATGCAAAATAGAGAAACTAACGTGATACATGCACAAAAAAACAAGTGAGGAGACGGAAAGTTAAGCAGGCAAGCATTAATCAAGGGTACATCGGCATTTATAAGAAATCAAAACATATCCATACATGCGAACTTGTATACATACATTCATACGTGCGGCCATGACTTGTTAAAAGCCGACTCAACAGCCTTCAGCAGCCGCTGCGGGTGTTATTCTTTCTGACATCAGACGGGAAGCTGTTGCACCTTGAGGGTAATTGGATTCATTAAGTCACTAATCATTGTCGAATTCGAGTTCGAATGTTATCTACAATCAAAGCTGCAGCAAGATCAAGAAGCTATTTGTTGCATGAAAAGCAATTGTGGTGAATGTCTTGGAGAGGCTTGTGTGGGTTTATGCAATTCAATCTTGTCTACAAACCGGCTTCCGCTTTCACTGTCGGCCCAAGCCGGTGAGCAAGACAGGGAGATGGAGAGGTATGGGTAGTCAGGGAGGTCGGAGCCAAGATCGGCAGGGTAGGCAGGCAGTAAGGTTAGGTAGGTGGGAAAGCTGCAGGCAGGTAGGTAGGTACGAGTGTTCCACGAAGACGGTAGGTGGACGCATGTTTATGTGTGTATAAATATATGTTGTGTATATATATATATATAACATGTATATGTATATGTATATGTACATGTACATGTATATGTATATGTATATGTATATGTATATGTATATGTATATGTATATGTATATGTATATGTATATGTATATATGTATACACATATGATGAACAGATACACACGTATATATGTATATTTACATATTGATTTGTTTGTTTACTTGTACATACACGCATGCTGCCTGCACGCATGCACGCATGCATGCATGCTTGCACGTGTATGTACACACAGACACTTGCAAACACGTAGAGACAAGCACGTCTGTACGTATGTATACATGTGTGTATGTATATATATATATATATTATATGTTATATATACACATGTATATATATATATGTTTATTTATCATTATTATTATATACATACATGTAGAGAGACTTACATATG